CACCGCCACAAGGCCCCAAGGATGACACGCATAAGTCGGGAAATCTGAGAACGAAAAAATAAAGAGAAAAAACAAAGAAAAGAAACAGGGTTGTTGTCCGCACGTGTATCCCCTAGGGCCTCTGCGTTGTTATCAGCCTGTGTATGCCATTGGGCCCCTGTATTCCCGTTGCACAAAAGACAAAAATCATGGTGCTGTATCTTTCATGTTCTAGCGGAAGATTCACTTTCGTTTTGCACATTTCGAGAGTAGTGGAGCAAGGCCCTATCACTCATCGAAACCGAGAGTAAATCTTCCCCTAGAACATGAAAGATACAGCGCCACGGTCTTTTCTTTTTTTCTTCTTTCTTCTTCCTTTTTCTTTTGGAAAACGGCCTGGCCTGGCCCTCCCACGTGGATGACTAGACTGCAGTTACAAACTCTTCCCTGCGACAGCCACGCTACCGAGGAGTTTGGCCTGCAGTGTTAACTTCAGAGCGGACTGGACTCCAAAACAGCAGTTTAACGAGCCATCGGAACAATGCCAGCCTCTACCCTCTGGGCCTCTTACCACTCGAGAGGTAGAGAACTTGTCCCTGAAAGATGAAAAAAAAAAAAAAAAAAAAACGCAGTTTGAAATGTATTTTCAAACTGGACTCCAAGACTCTAACCCTGACCGCTCCCTAGTTTTCTCAAAAAACATAGAAAAGAAAAGAAACACATTGACCGTGCAAGCAGAAACCTGCCATCTACAATGGACGACACATGGCACAAAACGGAATGAAGACTTTCAAATAGGTTGTACGTTCGCAGTACAGAGGGATCCGCCTTGTTCCCATAAAAAAAAAAAAAAAAAAAAAAAAAAAAAAAACAGAGGGATCACAGTGCGCTGACATGAAATTGGGGAAAGCGAGAGACAACCCAGCCCCTGAGGCTGAATGGTACACCCATGAAGCTGTTGATATACAGACGTGTGTTTTTTTTTTCTTTTTTCCTCTTTTTTTTTTTTAAATTATTATTGTCCAGATTAATATCTGGTCTGTGGTCCATCAGACTTGTGTTTTTTTTTCCCTTCCAATCATCGTTCCGTAGCCAACCTTCTGCCTGATGGGTGGCGAAGAGCTGCAGGCAACTCTCGGGTTGGAGAAATCAGACTTGTGTTTTAATCCTCATGAAACTAGAATCTTCACCTGAATAGAACGCAGGGTCATTGTCTGGACTGAAAAATGCCCCCAATACAGCTATAATTACTGGGCCTTATTTTTGGGCGAAGACAGTAGTGCCTCACGGCACTATTCACCGTACTATTGATTGAATGTGTAATAGAACAGAGAGATGTGTCTTAGGGCGAAAGACCCACTGGCAAAGAGGATTGGAAGAAGTGTCTGACTGTGTACGTGTTTGTGGACAGGTGCGAGAAATTGTGATTTTTCTACTTTTCTGCAGCTTTGCGTGGCACGTCCAGATTCAGACACTTCTTCCAATCCTCTTTGCCAATGGGATCTGGCCCTTACTATAGACCATGGACAGATCATTTCAATGCACTATTCACGGCACCATTCACAAAATGTGTAATAAAATGGAGATGAGTCTTACTGTAGAGTCGTGTAGACTATGGAGAGATAATTTCAACGATACCTCCCACAATGTATCACCTGCGGTCGTGACAGCGGGCCATTTGACGGCACGCAGTCGGCATCCCGACCGCAATCACAGCATAAGCGATGTTTTTTTTTTTTTTTTTTTATCTGCTGTTCGTGGATAGACGAGGGCCCTGACTGAACTGCTCAGCCCGAGTTTCAACTGCAATTGAAACTCGGGCCCTGACTAAACTGCTAAAACGCAGTTTCAAATGCAATTACAAACTGCTTACAAACTGGTTTTGTGACTGCGCCATAGTTACCCCAAAAAAGAAACCAATACGCTCTTGTTTATGGCGGGAACCTGGCAAAGGGGTATGTGCATACCCAATTTTGCCTGCCTGGTTCCTGGGCATAAGTATAATTTTGTGCTCCATAACTTAGGGCCTGATACGCATAAAAGTTGAACAGTGTCTGGGTATAGATGCAAGTTGGGCGCTCTACTGGGTATAGCAGGTATTCCCATCTTAGGGCCTGTGGGACTGGGTACGCTTAAAAGTTGGACAGGGTCCGGGTATAGATGCAAGTTGGCCTCTCTGCTGGGTATAGCAGGTATTCCCATCTTTAAGTGGGGTACAGATGCAATTTTCCCTTTTTTTTACGGGATAATTTGCAACATACCCTCATACGTTGAGATATATGCCAAAACGCCCCTGAAAGATGTGGGTATTTCACAAATTATTTTTTTTGTCCGAGGGGCATTCCGCACTACCTACATCTTTTAGGGGCATTTTGACATATATCTTCACTTATGGGGGTACTCCGCAAATTATCCCTTTTTTTTAACATCGTCTGCTTGTGCTGCTAACCCTCTTCACCCGAATAGAACATCGGGGCACCATTATCGCGGCATCTGGTGGTGATGCAAGCAACCAGTGCTAACAACAGAATGTAGATGGCTCTGCTCTCATTGGTGGGGAGCTGCACCTGCTGGGACACTGGCCCAGCGTCCATGATACAGACGTAAAAATACCAAACAGAGGGTGCCTCTTCAGCCTGTGAGGAGGCCTCCTGGAAATACTAGATTCCCTACCTCTTTTGCTACCGTAGGCGGTGCTGCTCATTTCACCCTTTCTTTTTTCTTTTTTTTTTTCTTTTTTTTTTGAACCACCGCTACCTTTCCCACATGTCGGCTGCGGGCATCTAGTAGCCTACTCCTGAAAAATAGCCGGTCGATATTTTCCATCGACGGCGCGTGGCGGCCAAATTCGAATTTGAGGCCCGGGGCCCCACATATGAGAAAGGTGGTGGTGGTTTAAAGGCTTATCTTTTTAAGGCTAATTCTTTAAGCCCCACCAATTCAATTACCTGTCAAGTCTCGACAAGACGGCCTTTCAGGCCTTTTTTGTTGTCATTATACTACGATTATATAGAGAACCCCGTGGCAGCCACATCCGTGCTAGCCACATGCGGGCTCAAGCCTCCAGCCTCCAACAAGGGAACATGCCGGAGCTGCACCCACCAGCAGGTGCCATACCTGCTACAGCAAGTGGGCGATACCGGCCAGGGGTGAGCTGGTAGCATCAGGACCGAGCTTCTTCGATGGGCCTATCTCTGTGCCTCCCCTCCGGTTCACTCCCCCTACTACCGTCTTCCCCCGATACAACGTACTGTCATTATAGCTGTATTTAGACTGAATTATACCCCAAATTCAACTATAATGACCGTACGTTGTACTCGGGGGAAGACTGTAACAGCCAGACTGGCTTCGTCTTCAAAAACAAAAAGAACCCCCCTTCTCCCTGTGGCTGTTTCTCGCATCGGCTACCCCAAATGCAGCTGTATTGACCCCTTTTTCTTTTTCACTTTTATAATGCAGTTATAATGACCGTACGTTGTAGTTGGGTTGGGCGAATGAGGTAGAATGAAAGACTGGGGGGGGTTGGGAGGGAGGACAGGAGGG